CCCCAAAACCCCAAAACCCCAAAACCCCAAAACCCCAAAACCCCAAAACCCCTATCTTAAAAAGAAAAATTGATTAATTTCAAAATAAATTTAAATACCAGGAATAAAATGGAAACTGAAGGATTATTACAGTTTAGAGGGAATGAAAAGTTATCAGATATCTCATTGACAAAAGCATCTGCCCCGGATGCTGATGCTATCAAAGGACATAAAGTAGTACTTGCTGCATCCTCAGGATTATTCTTCGACTTATTTACAAAAGAAGATCAAGAATTGGTTGATGAGTTTAAAATCCCTGCATTTATAGAAACTAAAAGTGCCGTCACCGAGGATCCCTACAACAAAGCCTTTGCTTATATGTATTGTGATCAACAGTTCGACAAAATCAGAGCTGAACTGAGCCCCAACAATGTGTTCCAACTCTACTCAGTCGCATATACGCTTAAAATTAAATAAGCTCATCAATGATCTTGAAGACTTCATCGTTAATGATCTGTTAGACAATGAAAACTCCATCAACTTTTACCTTGATGGAATCCGCTTTGAAAGCCAGAAAGTGACGAGTGCTTGTGAGAAACTGCTGGTTCAGGAATTCCAGGAGGTGTGCACATCAAAGGACGGGCACTACTTCCTCAGCCAGCTGCCTCTCCCTTACTTCCAGAATCTCATGAAAGACAACGAGCTCAACGTCGACAACGAAACCAGAGTGCTCGAGTGAGTTGAAAAGTACATCAGACACAGAGCAGACATCCAGCCAGACAAAACTGAAGAAGAGAAGAAAGCAGAACGAGCTGCAATTGAAGCTGCTGGTGAGGAGCCTCCTCCAGATCCAGAAGAAGAAGAAAAAGCCAAGAAAGAGGAAGAATTCAATGCTCTTGACGACAAAGGCAAAATCCAGTGGAAGTACAATGAACAAGTAGACACACTCAGAAAACAAGCAGCCGGAAGGATGAGAGTCAGAGGACTCAGACCAACAGAGAAACGAGAACTCTTCAAAGCCATCAGGTTTGCATTTCTGACTCACCAGGAACTTCTGCAGTGATCGAGAGACCCGATCTTCGACGAAGCCAAAGACTACTTCATTGAAGGACTCACATACAAAATTGAGCCCGAAGAAGTCCTTGACAAAGACAACACTCTCATCAGTCTGAATGAGCGAGCCCACTACGTCAGAGATGCACTTGGCGACGACTTCAGAGACCTCAATGTCAATGCACCTCAAAGACACAGAATGGACCCAACTGGAGATGTCCACCAAGAAAGAACGCTTGAAGACGGCCCCAACAGAAGAGCTGGCACCCACAGAACAGACAAAAGTCGTTCTCCACTCAGAAACAAGCCAGCACCGAAAGGAGGGTCTAGAGCCGAACTAGCAGGTCAGAAGTCTCGGTACCCTGGAGCCAGAAAAGACCAGCTGAGTTACCCCAGAAGGACACTGCAAGGAGGCATGGACGATACATTTGCTAGAGCTGAGACCGATCCTTATCACGACATGGGAGCTCCGACTATGCCACCAGTGAGGTTTGCAGTTCCTGGGCAAGGAAGATCAAGGAAGCATGGGCCACAAGCAAATTGGGCAGACAACCAAGTGGCTAAGAAGTCCTTTGATTACAATTACGACATGGATGAGAATGGTTGTTTCTTCTATCTTGCTACTCAAGGAGGAAGAAAGATATGGCAAAATCCTCATGTTATCGGGCAAGTTCAGGCATTTGCAAGCTCTATCGGATTTGGTACAGTTCAAGACCTTGTTGGAAGAAAATGTGTAAACCTTAGAACCCTAAATGAACCATTTTCATTTTTCGGAGTTGATTTGGGAGAAGGAAGAAAACTTCTACCTACTTGTTATACAATAATGAACCGTAACTCAAGCACTCATGTATTAATGAATTGGCATTTTGAAGGATCTACTGACAAACTGAACTGGACAATTCTTGACAGAAGAGTGTATATGCCATCTCAGTTAGAATCAGCTTCTATTCATGACAATTATGCAGTTGACCAAGAAATCATCGATAGTTTATGCCAAAAACAACAGACCAACACTTGGGGAATTGATCAGAATGTATACAATGATATCGATAGCGAAGGCTTCAGATTTTTCAGAATCATCCAAATCAGTCCTAACTCTTCAGGTTCAGACAATCTCGCCCTTAGTTGCTTCGAGATTTATGGCAATATCGCTGCAGGTAGATTCCCATAATCTAATAAATAAATTTTGTACCAGTTCCGCAAGGAAGTTTCAGCCCATCTAAATTTCTGAGGGGTTTTGGGGTTTTGGGGTTTTGGGGTTTTGGGG